TTTCTCCAGAACACAGTTTCTCCATTTTGTTAAGACATACTTCTCAGGAGATACCTAACAGAATGTTACTGTTTTGCTTTGGAGGGGGATATATAACTTTGTTGCAAACATCATAGTTCTTTTTTCCTTTAGCAGAGAATTGCAGACTAGGCAGATGGGTCTGTATGAGTGGGAAGAGGGGATCTGGGGGAAAACAGAGATTGGGGCTATAGCTGAAGAGGGCTCAACCAGTGAGAAGTAGTCAATGCTAAGGTAACTGTTCCTCAGGGGAACTTAACTGTTTCCAGACCACATGAGTTCATTCAAAGCACCATCTCAAAAATTCCCTAAACAAGTCTCTTACTTTTAAAGAATTAGGAAAATTTTAATTCAAATTAATGGGAAATAAGAGAAAAAATAAATCAGTGACCTGAGTTGACCAAATAAGTGAACTATAACGTCAGCATCTCCAGTTTAGAGTAATGAGAGTATCCTTGGAGAAACAATGAAATTACTGTCAGAAATGCATTATCAAACCTCAACATAGAAAGAAGAGCTAACAGAAAGGGAACATTTAATAAGAAAAGGAGCATTTTTTTGACACTACTTCCAATGCTTGTTTATTGAGTGTCATGAATTCAACCAACATTACATAGGAACAAAGCAGATATAGTCTTGCCCAACTGGCATGCATTTCCAATTAATTGTGAAAGTTTGGTAAGTAGGTAAGGTTGATCAGGTGAAAGGCTGATAAGTTCTACTAGTGATTTCATAAATAGATTGATTTCTGAAAAACATTTTTAGTAGCTCTACTTAGTCTTTTAAAAATAATGTTGATCAGAAAGATACACTAAAAATCTAGTAAGTAAATGATACTTAAGCTAATATAAAATAATGGATTCACTGCTCACTTTCCACAAGTCTTTGACCTGTTTATTTATTATTAATTCACAGAACCTGGGACTCAGTTCTTAAAGTTACCAGCTTCTGGGGATTACTGGGAGGCAGGGTAATTATGAAAAAGGGAGCATTTCAATTCTATGTACAAAAAGTCTGGGGTATTTGGAGAAGAAGCCTTTCCCAGGAAATCAGTGCTTCAAAGATTGCTATGTTTTGGGTAAGTCGAGATGAAAAATTCAGGGCTTTTCGAATTGCATATGTGAAAGTGTTGAGCGAGAATGTACTTGTAATATGTCTTCCTTGACTCTTGCCTTACACTCTCAGAGACATTTACCAAGCACCTACTCTGTGCATGGTGCTGTGCTAAAAGCTAAGACAACACAAACAAAACCCCTCTTAAAGAGTTTATAATCAAGTAAGGGAGAAAGAATGGTACTGTTTATAAATAACTTCAATATCCAGTGTATAATGATGAATAAAAAGTTATGGGAATGCGGAAGGCCTTCATATATGTCAGTTTTTCCTGTCACAATGACTTTCATGATCATATGTAATGACTGAGTTGTAATTTTTGCCACTGAGTTCTGGGAAACTATGTAAGAGAGCAGTTTAAAAAACTGCTGTCTGAACAATTTCTTTCATCTTAACTTCTTCATGGCTCTGCTTACATTATTGCATCAAACAATTTATTCATTGCTTATTGTCATACTTTTTGTCAGTTTTTAAAATTCCTTTTGTTGCTGAGTGATTGGAAGAAAAGTACAGGTTGAAATGATCTATGCTGAGCTGGCAGAAGAGAACTCCCTCAAATTCCTTCCTCTCCATTGGTCTACAACCATGGATACCTTCCTGCATCCCTTCATCATCTATGCTGGGCTCAGACACAGGGTTTACTTTATTCCTTTTCACAGCCGATAACACCATCTAAGCTCTTGATCATTCATCGAAAACACTTCGTTCATTTCAACTTCAACTGGGAGCTCACTGTGTATTGTGTTAGCACGGAGGGTATGAAGCAAGTAAGATGACAGTGGTCTGGAGCCTGAGACAATCAGAGAGATGGTCAGGACCTCACCTTTGTAAGGCTGAAAACCTTGTCTTTAGTAAGAGCCTGGTGACCCTTATGCAAATGAAAAATGAAAAATTACCGATGTTGAAACCCTAACTACATGCCAGGAACTGTATTAGGCACAACACATATCAGAGGAATCAGAGACAAGAAATGCTGCTAGTTGTAGAGTGCACAAGGATGAAACATTCCTAAATGATAGTTAAGACAGAAATAATGTGGAGTGACAGATTCTGAGTGCATATATACATGAATGTGTTTGGCTGTGTGTTGAGAGGAATTAGTTCCAAGAAATCTTAACAGAGTAGGTGAATTATAACTGTGTAAAGCTTGATGGGTGAGTGTGAGCTCACAAGGATGGAAAGCAGGAAAGAGGTATTTTTGAGGTAGAAATGACATGAGCAGAGGCTGAACGGAATAATAACAATTCAATGTTAGATGACCACAGAAAATCATTGTGCTGGAGCTTTAAATGTGAAGCTGGGTGCTGTGGAGATGAAACAAGAGAGGCCAGGGTGTGCAAGCCCAGGGCATGAAGATCTTGAAATTCCACGGAAAGGATAAGGAACTTAGATTTTAGTTTTAGAACATCAAAAGTCAAGCATTTCCAAATATTTTACGAGTAAGTAAATAAATCATTCTTCATCTTGTCTAATTTAACTCCAACAAAATTCCTTTCCTTCTTTAGTATCTTATTTAGTACCATCGACTCCCTTTTTGAAATCTACAATACTTGAGTTCTACCCCATCTTGTTAATGAAAGCTTCCTACACTTTTACATAGATATTTTCAACACATTCAATTCAACCAAGATTTACTGAGTATCTTTCATAACTGGCCATTGTGCTTAGCTAGTGAGGGAAATAAGACATAAACGCTGTTTCTCCCCCAATTTCCTGCCATATATTTTATAATAAAAAAAATGTACTTTGAGGGATAGTCTGCTTTTGCTTATTATTTCTTCACCTTCAGCAGCAAGCTAGATTCTTTCTCTAATAACTGTCAGAGCATTCTCCAGCTGATGTCACCAAGTCCAAAAGTTTATTTTCAGATTTGTTTTCCTCTCCTTCATCAGAAATTTTTACAGTGTTGACCACCTCCCTCTTTGAAACTTTCTCCTTTATTAGCTTCAATGACAGTAATTCTGTAGGTTTCTCCCCTGTTTATCAAATAATATTCTTGTTCTCTGTCTTTCAATTGTGATGTTCTTTGGGAGTCTGTTTTTCTCCCAAGAAGTTTCTCTTCTTTCTTGCTCTCCATATATTCTCCTTGGGATATATTTGTTATTCCCATGGCTTTAAATAGCACTTAGATCCAGATGATTCACAAACCTGAAATCTAATTATGGCTTCTCCTGAGTTCTATATTTCAAAAGTTAATGCAATCTTTGAAGCTGTGGCAAGATTTCTAGGCTTAAACTTGAAGGCAGTAATGAATCATGGAACTAGAGTGAGGCAATCAAATTGATGATTCATAAAAATAACTGGTAGCAGTTAGAAGAACCAATCAAAGCTCTCTCCTTAGTGCCAGTGAATAAAAAGTGAATAAACTACCCCCAAGGGGCATCTCCACTCATATACTCTCAGACACCTCAACCTCAATAGGAACAAACAGAATTCCTCCCATTTCAAACCTGGCTCTCCCCTCCGTGCTTCATTTGTTGTTAAATGACATCAATTTGTAGCAAATCATCTACTTAGAATTGCCTCCCTCATGTACACACACTTCACACACTTCTCTCCCTCTCTTTCATCCCCTACACACAAATAGTCATTAAATTTGTATTGATTCTGCTACTGAAATGTCAGAAACTAGAACCTTCAGGAGACCTATATATGAAGGCTAAGTAATTGCATTCTGGTTGGTAGTGGGTCCTTGTAGCTGTATTTCATTACACTTTTGTTAAATTTCATTATACTTTTGCTCAAGAATAAAGGAGAACTAATGGGTATTATTAGGGGAAGCACTAAAATTCCCCCAAGCTACTCTTTTGTGCAGCCATCACCAATGAATCTGTTCAATCCATCCTCTCCAATTCCTGTACAATGTTCAATTTCTCATAAGCTATAGTCTCTCAACTAATTTTCTGGTCCACTTAGACCACGGTGATGCTCTTCTCTCATTGCACTGCCATGAACTGTAGCTTGTGGCTATGTTTTTAACTGCTGAATTAGACCATCTGGCATTATCAACATTGTCCTAGCCATTGCCAATGGTATGGCTCTGGTATGTGTGATTGATGTGGGTTCAGATCCTTGTTCAAACACTAACTAGTTTTGAGACCTTGTACAGTGATAATAACAAGAAGTATTACTCATAATAATAGCTACCATTTATCGGAATTTGTTCTATGAATGTTACTTTGCTAAGACCTTTATAAACATTCTATTTTTTCATTCTTACTACAGTACCAGGTGGCGAGTATTATTACATTCACTCTAAATTCGCTTTTCTGATACGGAAATGGAGCATCAGAGAAGTTATGAAACATTCAGGATCACATACAACTAGTGGATACAGTAACTGGGCTTCTAGACCCACCATTCCTCTTTAATTCCAATGCTCACGCTCTCACAATTGTTTCACTGAAACTTAAAAGTAGTGTAAACTTAGTTTGATTCAGTTTCCTTCTCTATGAGGTAGAATACGCACTGTGCTTAAGTTCAGTATCTGGCATGCAGATGTTGAAAACTGGTGTTTTTTTTTTTCATTTTTAGTAAGAATCACTGGGCTTAGAAATGGGATTTTCAGCCCCTGAAAACCTCCTCCATTTTCTTGAGTACCAAACTACTAACCATGATAAATATATTAACAATTGATTGTCACTGGACTAACAATGAGATATCCAACCCACACCAGGCAGAAAAAAATGCCCATTCTCTACAGATTTCCAAAGAATAAATAATTCTACAAATTCCACCATTGGCCTCAGCCCACTATCCCACTATCTAATCTAATTCTGCACAGTGTGAGGGAACTTCTCTGTGGGTAAGAAGGTTCAGCTTGTCTGGAGCTGAGCTTTTCCACTGAAAAAAAAAAAGATTTTACTTACAGGGCCCATACAGCACTTTTGCTGTCCCTCTCAGACTGTCTCAGAGCACTGAGGAGGCTTCAGATGCCAGAGGAGCTTATGAGGAGACTTATTCCAAGCCTCGCTGGAGACAGTGACAGAGCCGAGGGGCCAGTTCCCGGTGCGGGTGTCACTCACTGTGTCTCCAGGGTACGGGGGTTCCCAGAAGACTTCTTTCGCCTCATATAGTCTTTTTATATCTGTTGCATTATGCAACTGCTTGTTGTAGCCATGTGCTTTAGAGGCTGATGCAATTTTTGTCCTTGTGTCCTTTTATTGAAGGACTTACTGTAAAAAGAGTTTTGGGGTATAAGTCACATACCATACATTCCCCCATTGAAAGTGCATGATTTAATAGGTTCTAGTAAATTCAGAGTTGCACAACAACCATCATCACAGTCTAATTTTAGAAAAATTTCATCACCTCCAAAAGAAACCCCAGACCCACCTGCAGTCACTCTGAAGGGGATTTTTAAAAATGAAATATTACAAGAGATTACTAAAAGGTATCGCCTGTTGTGAGTGTAAATCACCCTCCACCCGTAACCCTTAGTATCTATCGTTAACAGCAGTCCTGTTTCATCAACCTGCCTGTGCTTCTTTGAAGCCTCTCTTACAACTAAGAAAAAAATAACTTATTGATCTACATATACTCAATAAATATTTCATAGGAGTGTCCTATATTCCAAATATCACGCTAAGTGCTAGAGATAAAAAGAAAAGAATACAACATAGTTCTTACTGTCCAGGGTCTTCTAGTTTAGTGTAGAAAACAGACAGGTTAACTTTTAATTACCAACACAGATAGCCAATGATAAGATTATCTCAGAGGTAGCAAGAAGTGCTTGGTGAATACAGCAGACAAAAATCTTAGCGTATCATTTAAGTGGGCAGGAAATAAAGTTTATCTAATTTTTCACTATTCAACCAACTTTCTGTTTTTAAGTCCCAGCCCACAAGGAGGAAGAAAATTAATCATAGTAACCTGGGGCTTTCCCTACTTGTTTTCAAATTTGGAGGATCTTACACCGTGCATCCAATGTACATCTGACGTGGGGTGAACACTGCCTCATTTGGCCGTTAGTAATTGGTACCCACAGATTGCTATGGACTGTCCATCTTCTCTATTTATGATGCCTTTAGATCCTCAGATATTTCCAGCATTTCTGGACCATTCTTGAGCATATGGGCCTTAGAATCATCCCCAATTTCTATCTCTTACATTCTGTATACAAGTTATTGGCAAACCACACAAATATCTTTGAAAACATAACCAGAATTTAATCACTCTCCATCACCTCCAAAAAGTGCCTCCCTTATCCGAGTCATAATTATCCGTCATTTGGATTAATTTTAGTCATTTCTTAATCATTCTTCCATCCCCACCACCAAGTCTATTTCCCCACAGAAAATGTCTTGGCCTGAATTATTTTATTTTTTATAATGTAACCAAAGCAACAACAGTAATATTTAATTATGCATTCTATGTCCAAGATATTATGTCAAACATCCATGGTAGGCAAGATAATGGCCCCCAAAGATAACCACATCCTACTGCTTGAAATCTGTGAATATGTTACTTTTACATGGCAGAAAGGACTTTGCAAATGTGATTAAAGTTGAAGCTCTTGAAATGGAAGATTATCCTGGATTATCTGGATGAGTCCAATTTAATCATTTGAGTCCTAAAAAGTGGAGAACCAGAGAGATGGCAGCATGGGAAGGGCTTGATGGCCTGGAAGGTGGTGGAAGGAGACGGTGAGCTACAGAATGTAGGCAGCCTCTACAAAGAGAAAAGGCCAGGGTACTGATCCTCCCCTCGACCTTCTGGAAAAGACTGCTGATGCCTTGATTTTACCTCAATGAGACTCATGTTAGACTTCTGACCTACACAACTAAAATATGATAAATTATGTAGAAGAATCCGCTATTACTTTGATTTACGCAGTTACCAAAGGTTACGGGGTTTAAGTAATTTACTCTGGTCTCTCAGTTAATAAATGGCACAACTAGTATTCATAGTCTGGGCTATCAGAGACCCTTAAAGGTGTAAAACTTATTTGCTGGAGAATTTTCACGTGACCATTCATCCACCACTAATTCCAATTCAAGCTGTTCTAAACCTATGGCATGCGTGCATGCCTAAGTGCCAGAGTGAATGTTAACATGCTGTCACTTGTGTATGTTTATATTTTGCATATGAAGTTTTGTTCTGTTGTGTCTCCTCACAGTGAACTCCTTGAGACCTTTGAAGACAATTTCTCTAGCAGGCTGGGCAAATTCTAGGGCAGTGACTGCTTTCCCACCAGTCTCAGAAACTATTTGACCATGACCACAACTGTTTTTCCCCTGTACAAAAAAAAATGATACTTTTCTCTAAGAGTGATAGAGTTACTATAGTAGTATCAAGTGCATTCTTGGCCAGAGTGTGGTGCATTCACATGAGCTGGTGTGCGCACTGGCAAAGCACTGACCCACACACTGGTGCACATGCTTCCAAAATATGGCCCTTCCCACTGCCCTCCTCTCACACCAGCCTAGCAGACTTGTAGCTGGTAATTGGATCCAACCTTCTGAAAACGTGAGCAAAACCTCCCTCAATAAAATCAACTGCAACAGGAATATGCAGTTAGCAATGTGTCAATACCAGTAACATTGATCCCAGGAAACATACCAGTCTGGGATGTCACTTGACTTCATATTAATGTTTCCCAAACTTTTATCCAAACAGGAAGAGCAGAATTAGATACAAAAAATTGTGCCGTAGGTACTTGCAAGAAACAGTGTTTTTTAGTATTAAAATTTTCCTACAGTTAACAATAAAATATTCTTACCTATCAAATCAGCAAATGTTTTTTAAACATAATACACAGTTATGTGTTGCTGTGTTAGAGTGTACTAAGCACTACTTTACAATATTTGTATAAACTTTACGGAAGTGAATTTTCCATTATACTATTGCTTTAAAGTGTCCATAATATTCCATTTCTAGAAATTTATCCAAAGGAAAAAAACATCAGAAATGCAGGCCACGGTTTATGTAGGGGAACACTTATTACGGCATTATTGATGCTAGTAAAAATTGTAGGTAATTCTCAGTGTGCAGAAATAAAGTATTTATATCCAGTCATAGGGTGTTACGCAACCTTTAAAATTCAGGCATGTAGCAGCTGATATGGAGGGTCATCCTGAATCAGGAAACGAGAAAGCAGGAATCGAGGCTGAGAGTTTTACAAGGCAGTAAACACTGTAAGTTCTGAAAGAAACAGAATGTCTGAGACAGAAGCAAGACGCCAGAGGCAAATCGGGTAATCCAGAGCTAATGCACTCAAACTGTAGAAATAAACTTAAAAGCAAGCAAACTATAATAACAACAGCAAAGCCTGGTTGCTGCATCAATGATTGCTCCATTTAGGCCACTATTCACAAGAAGTATTAAGGTCCTACAAGGCCTAGCGGCCCTCCATGGTCTGGTGAAGGTCTTATTTTCCTCCTGGATTCAGCCATAGCAAATTAGTCCTCCCTTGCTGATTTGGCCAACATGAACCATTCTATTTTAGTGGATAAAGAACTGCAGCTCTTCCTCTTTTCTATCAACTTCTTTGGGCTGTTCCTCTTATTCCTATTTATTTCATTCCTCTCTGCTCCCATCATGTCTTGTACATTCTTCCATCAACATTCTTTATTCATTGGTCGTTACAAAAATATCATATGCACACTATACACATTATTGAACACGACTGGAGGATGTAACATTGCCCCAGGTATTGCAAAGTCTAGTGGAGGATACAATTATGTGGGAAATTACAATACTGTGTTACAACTACTCTAAAGGGGGAATTAATAGAGATTTTTGCTACTAAAAAACTAATAGTGCAACCAAGCAGGAACCTGTGGGGCCTTCCCAGGACAGACGCCTACCCCATATCTTCTGCCCTAGCTCCTCTCTGAAGTACCCAGATAATAGTATCTCATGTCTATTTCCTGAGTTTTCCAGATGCTAAAAACCATCAAAAAATGGAAGAAGTTAACTTCTTAATAATCGTGAACACGTGGCCCCCAGACCTTCTGGTGCCTAGGGGTTGATCCTGTTGACCCCCTATTACCTCAACATCAACCAATCACAGAATTATGCACGAGCTGATCACGTATCCTGCAATCCCTCTCCCTTACCTGGTCTTTAAATATGCTTTGCTGAAACCCATCAGGAAGTCTGGGGCCTCTCAGGCATGAGCCACCCCGTCCTTCACAGTTGGCCCTGCAATAAGCCTTTCTTTGCTCCAAACTCCGACGTTTTAGTTTCTTTGGCCTCACAGTGCATGGGGCACATGAACTTGCGTTCAGTAACAACGCAGTAACTTCCCTTCAGTGTTGGCATTACCTGAAAGCTTGTTAAAACTGTAGAACATCAGATGTACTGAATTATATTCTGTATTTTTGCAAGATACCTAAAGGGACTCATGAGACATTCACATTTGAGAAGCACTAATGCAAAGGTGTTGGGACAATCTAGCCCCATTTGATCAAGGGAGGCTAACCAAATATAATTGCTAATGAGATTTTAGGAAATGAGAAGAAATCTGCCCCCCTCCCCCAGGGAGCCAAGGATGAGGGCGGGAGAGTCGGGGGTAGAGTTAGGAGACAACAGAAGGTTAAGGAAATGTTGCAGGCACAGGCAACAGCTGTGCTGTTTATCCCATATGCAGGCTGACCACAATATTAGGAAACCATGAAGCAGGACAACTAAAAAACAAACCCCAACAAGACAAAAAGAAAGCAAAATTTCTTTTAAAAACAGCACAAACACACCACATTCAGCTTCCATTAAGGTTTCTTTAAATTTGAAATCAGAACATCTAGGAAGAAAAACTATTTTAACACAAATGTAAATTTTATGTCAATATAAAATAAAATTTCTTTTGAATTGCATTTGAGGCAGAATTTCAGAATCAGTAAACACCTTAACACTACCTAGGAGAACAGAATGAGTAGACCAAGAAAAGCACTCCATGTTCAGTAGGGTTGAAGCCAAAAGAGTAGAAAGACAGTGCTTTCAGGACTGAACTCTAAATGGGCAGATGACTGCAGAGAAGATATTTAAAATATTCAAGTCCTGGGATAGGTCAATTAGAAAAGACACTCTACCTGTCAGAAGGAACATTGGTCATTATAGCCTTTGTGTATCCACTGATTACTAGACCTGAGCTG